CAAGTGGTTTATTCAGCAGGAATGGTGAACAGTTTGTCAGTATTTTTTTTTTTTTTTGTCTACAGAAGGCAATCAAGCACCATGAATAACAGCGCTCCAATCAGACAGTTGTTTTGGACAGTGACCTTCAGGAAATTGTATCATCTCGTATAACACCTCATATAATCATTAATGACTCACACGCTCCCATGATCCAGGCTTTATTGATCATTGCATACCACTGACAAACTGGAATGTTTCATTCATTGTGTGAAGATGGTTGCTGCAGCTTCTGTTTTTTAATGCACAAACTGTATTTCAGGTACCAGAAACATAGTGTGACGGGTGTACTGTTGTTGTAGTGAAATTGAGACAGTGATACCATCATTTGATATTTAATGAACAGCTCATTGGTTTCATTCATGATACAATAATGGAGAGTGAGGCTTCACTTTAATCAAAAAGTCTTTGGTTTATACCATTTATCTGAAGATCTGGGAGGACCAGAGCTGTTCTCCAGCCAGCTTCCTATTTCATTTCTGCTGCCAGGTTGACTAATAAGACAGTTTGCTTAGAATAAACACTAAAGAATATAGCAAATCCACATTATACAACCTTTTTAGAAACAAAAACACACTTTTAAATTAATCTGTGAAAATAAGTTTTAATTGAGAATTGATAACGAATGTTTTGGACAAGATAAATTAAACTCCTGGGTTACTCTTAAAGCCAGACAATGCAATCTTAGTTCAGTTCTCAACATGGGCTAATTTCATTTTTAACTGTAGCTTAAATATGAAGCCAGGTTCAGTAGCCCGTTAAGCTGGGCTTACACTGTGCGATTTTTGGCCCATTTTGAGCCGATTTTTGAGTCGTGCGCCCGTTTTGGTGATCGGCCCGATTTTGGCCTTTATCGTCCGTCGTGGATCGTGTAGTATACGTTGGGTAACGAGAAGCGATTAACACCTCACGACCAGCTCCCGATCATCAATCGCTTGGTCGTGAGGATTTCAAACCGATTTGAAATCCTCCCGACCGTCGTGAGGGTATCACCGCAGCCGCTCACACTGCGCACACGCAAACACATAAATGTCGGTGAAAAAGACGGAGCAGCACGGCAGTGCAGCGTGTGAGCTGAACACAAGCGATGGAGGCACTTGTAGAACTTTGGAAAGCTCATCCGAGCCTTTTTGATGTGGCCTCACAAAATTATCACGACCACAACAACCGTGAAAATAGTTGGCTCTACACTGCTGCTCAATCACAGCTGATCAATGTTTTTCATTAGCAATTTAGCAAAGTTGATGGTGGTGGTGCATGTCTGTGTGAGTGAAAGACAGAGGGAGAGCGAGCGACAGAATTTCTGTTATAACCTTCATTTTATGGACGCACAGTGTGAGCACTCAGGTCGCATCAGAGCATCGGGCCGTATAGTGTGAGACCTGCATCGTGACCGACGAACTTCTAACCTCTACGAGTCAATCGTGCAGTTTGAGCAGGAGCTGAATAACGCGACTGAAAAAAATCGCACAACGTAAGCCCAGTTTTCGTTTAGCTTAGCAATGTTAGCTAGGAACAGGGAACAGCTGCCTTGGCTCTGCCCAGAGGGTTTTATTTATTTATTTTTTTAAAGCTCCTCTAAAGCTCAGAATCTTGTTTATCTAATCTTTAAAAATTGAGGTGAAATAACACACAGGATTCACTTCCTGTGTTAATCTGTGAGCTTTAGGATTGCTAGTGGGCGGATTACATTGAGTACACGTAGTCAGCAAGCTAAGCTAACTGGCTAAATAAAAAATGTAGAGACAAAGCACAAGTAATAATTCAGCCCTACATTTATTTTGTGGGAAGATCACTTATTTTCTGTCACGACTGTTAGCACCAACAGACTAAATAATGGAGAAGTGTGTTAAAGGCAATTAGCCAGGAGTGGGAACGGGAAGAATGGGAAAACTGCAATTATGGCTGTATTTTTCTAAGCTCTGCTGAACCACTGTGTTAAAGTTATAAAGTTAATATATCTGCAAATGGCTTTGCTAGTTTTCTAATAGCTAAAAAAAACAAAAAACAAAAAAACAAAGATAAAAATAATCCTCTGGGGTTTTTTAAAAAATCTGGAGTTTTGAGATAGCAGCAGGAATTTTATTAACATTTCAAGTACAACTTGTGATTGTTTCCCCATGCCAATGGAGTAGTTTTCAGAAGAGCTCACAATCTCTGTGAAGCAGCTCTTTAATTTTAGTTAAATAGAATAAAATATTGAACTTTATGCCATTATATTCCATGTTGACAGGCACAGGTCCAACTCAAAGATATTTTTTTTCAATGACCCTAATCCTTCACTGTATGTCATACCCATTTTAGTCTTATCTGCTGAAGCCAGTGAAGCTGTATCTGGATAAATCTGCAGGTGTAAGTTATTATCAGAAAAAAAACTTTTAAATATACTAAGGCAGACATGTTGTCTTACAATTTTTAGATGATGTGGTTTGTTGGTAGTTGAACTGTGATTTTCAAAATGCTGCGAACTTTAAATGTTGTCAGTTACTTTGGAACCGACTCTGAGTAATAGTTAATTAAATCTATAAATAATAATTACATTGGCTAACCAACACTCATAGGCATAGGCAACCAGATGCCAAAGCAGAAGAGGTTTAAACCTGCATTCTTTTCAAATGCTACCAGAGGGTGACTCCTGCAGATTCAAAATTACTTTCTGTCCTATATAAATTTGTGTGGTTTCAAAGTTCATCTTTTCTGGTTTCAAAGCATCAAGAATGGTAAAAAAAAAAGAAAAAAAGAAAGAAAAGGGAAAAAAAAGGAATAAATAAATCAGCTCAAGACCTCAACAGGATTTCTCAAACTAGTGGCTGACTTCACAGTGCCCATCTTATATACTGTCAATGTACTCAGGTTTGGGTGAGTCCTTAGTTGTGAGCCCAGTAAGACTGAGGACCATATAATCAATAAAAATGTTATTAGGTAAGAGCGTGTCAACTAAACTATCGACCAGTCAACTCTGAGTCCACAGCCCTACTTTCGTAGGGTTCGTCACCCCGTCTCTATGAGAGTAGCAACGACCTCTTTTTATTTATGTCATTAAATTAAAGATCCAGATTCTAAATATGTTACTGAAATGGGTACATTTGGGATTTTTGTTGGATGTATGCTGATTGTCTACTGTTTGACAAAGGTTGCATTGTCTTGTTTTAAGTAATTTCAATAGCTGGTACTTTGACTTCCAGTTAGGTGAATTATCACCAACACACACATCTGGACAGACAAAAGTACACGATGACTTTTTACAATCTTAATACAATTGGAAGAATCATTGTTCACAGTTATTTTGTCAAGTTATTTGGCATAAGGGATCTATATTGAGAAAATAATTTAAAACAGTAGAAAAAATAGCATTTTGCCTTCTTGGGAACACAACATGGTATATTCATTTCCTTTTTTTTTTTTTTTTTAAATTCTTCATGCATTCACAGATTTCACACAGATACATTTACTCGCTTAGACTACTACCTTATTGAAACAGCTTACAAATAAAAACACTATTAAAATGGTGGCCACAAGGCTGTGCAAAAGGGAAGACCTCCAATGTAAGCCCTGCCATCAGTCTCTTAGCCATCTCTTGCAAGTAACAAACTACAAAATAGCACCATTATACAGTGGATAGGATTCTTAATACAGTTTTGTTATATGAAACCATCATGTACAATGAATGATAGTAATGCATAGGTTAACATAATGGGAATACTGTTTGATTATACACAGGCAGAGGAGACAGAGCCAGAGATGAGTCGTCTTGGGCAATTATTATTTTTTTCTTATTGTTTTTTTTTTTTTTTTATCGGGTTTTTTTTTTTTTTTTTTTTTTTTTGGAGGCTTAAACAAACAGCCGTTTTTGTTAGTCCTCATGCAAGGACTTCTCAGAACTGGCTTTTCATCAAAGTTGGTGTATGTCTGCATGACCTTTGCTTGTAGTTGCATAACTCTAATTTACCTTGTGAGTGCTTTTGTATGTGTATTTGTATTCTGATATGCGAACATCACATCACCAGAAAGATTTGTCCTTGTGGTTTTGCCAACGTTCACCAAATATGTGTGTTTCTTGGGTGCACTCTGCAATGAATGCAGTGGAGGTTTATTCTACTCTTGCCATCAGATAAAGTTGCAAAATTCTCAGCCTTCCTAAGCTAATAAAATATCCAGGTCAAGATCAATCACTTAAATTCATACGTGTGAAGGCTCTGCTTTTTTTTTTAGAGCACTTGCTTTGACTAAACTTGGTGTAGCTCAGTGCAGAGGTCACACTAATCGGTGGTTCATAGCTATCTGCTGCATGATTCTTGGCAATTACTGTTTGCTACTGTTTCAGATGCGCTGTTCCGCCTCGCCTCTTCAGTGCCCCAGCTGTGGCTTGTGTTGTGTGTGTGTTGTGTGTGTGTGTGTGATGATGTGTGTAAAGCGCTTGGGTTACGACTAGAAAGGTATAAAATCAGGCATTACATTTAAACTATAAATCGTGTTACTGAACACGGGTGGAAACTGTGTTCAAGGTTGGTCCAAAAATCAAATTTGGCTGGGGTGTTGACACGTGAAAGGATGCAGACGACAAACATTTTGCCTGATTGTCATTATTTGACTTTTTCCGCTTCAGTTTGCCAAATGCACTTTGACTTCACCGAAGGACACGCTTCTGAGGGCCAAACGAGAACTCAGTTTTAGCTTCTGGTTAATTTGTTTTTCTGTTTTGGAAAATGTGAAAAATCCCAGTCTTGTTTTTGTAGTACCTTCTGTACTACCTACTTTCTTTAAAATCCCCTCTAATAGTGCTTGAGCTCTTTTTATAATGTTTGGATTGTAGACTCAGTCCTCAGGTTTTGAACACTTCCTGGGGCTTAAGAGAGATTTGGACTGATCTCAAACCTTCCAGCGACTCCTCGTAGTAAGGTTTAGACTTAGGCTCAAGTTAACATACCTACAACAATGTTCAAACTCTGATGAACCACCTGGTCTTTGTCCTTAAAGCAAACCTTTTTTATTTATTTTTTTTACATAATAAAAATATCCACAGTAATGGATGGTGCATAAAAACAAACTCTGAAGGTAATATATCAGCTTTGAACTGGGGTACTAACTGTTAAATGTGACCGAGCCACAGTCATGCTGCTCTCTGATTGGCTGAGGCCCAGATACGTTCCCATCTTTCCTGGAGCCTGGGGAGGCTGCAGCTCCCACATGGAGGTATAATAAGCTCTTGTTCGTGTCTTAGCAGCTAAACTAGTCTGTTACATTGCATTAACAAAGAATTCCTCCCAGTATGGAATGGTGCAGTGTATAAAATAATCACAACTTTCCACATCAGACCCTTACACACCACCTAGCTCTCTGTTTTCAATCATTTTGAAGAGCTTTTCAGGTCATTATTAGCATCTTCTTTCTTTTGTTTTACAGTGAACCATTCCACAGGGGTACCAGGTAAGGCCACTCCCTTCTCTCCTCCCAAGTTGCTGGGCATTTGTCCATTTGCTCCTTCCCTACATTCTGTAATTCCTGCCCCCCGAACTTCCTCGACTTGAGTTTTTCTGGTGGACTTCCTGCAACAAAAAAGAAACACTTTTTTTTTTTTTTTTTGATGTACAGCAGAGATATAGAAGATACCGGATGGCCTGGTCTTCTGTACTTATTTGGTCAAAATTCATCTACCCGGCAGTTTTCATATTGCTTTATCCAACTTGGGGGTCACAAGGGGTTGGAACACATCCCAACTGATATTAGGTAAAAAGTGCAATACACTCTGTGTGGTTACCCATGCATCTTGGGGCTAATTTAGAGAAACTTAGAAATACACACTTTCACATCTATGGCCAGTTCAGAATGACCACTTTACTTAACAACCGCATCTTTGGTCAGTGGAAAGAAATGAAATCAGATATGTAATCTCCAAACAGAAAGACCCTAGCCAACCAGGATGCTCAAACTTAGAACCTAAAACAGCTGCTAACCACAGCAACATGATGGTGATGGTGATAAACAATAATGAAACAAAACAAATTTTTCATTTTTTATTTCTGGTAACTTCAAATAGGAATCAATTTTAGTACCTAACTTCCAAATCCCAAAAAGTTGTTTTCATTCATCTGTACATTACACTTTCAGTGGGAGAAAGGTTTTGTTAATGATCCAACTGTCCTTTTCATTCCACAATGAACCGAATCAACGTTCTGGTATGATGGAACATGCATCAAGACATTCCAACATCCAAATGTTGGTCTAAAAGTGATCTTGTCTAAGGTCAGTCATATGCCATAAGGATTCTTACACTGGTTAGGGTAACACTAGAGCAGATGGGGTATCCTGGTCTTGTATTCAAGCAACTGACAGCAAGGGGAAATCAGGGGGAAATTGCTTTGGACTGTGCTCTGGAAGAGTCCAGAATCTAGTAATAGTAAAAGCCCTTAAAATTACCTGACCTGACTGCTGATCACTTTCTTCACTCTCAGTGTTTAAATAACTTCTTCTTCCACTAACATCTGCACATCCTAGCCTCTAAACAGGGTTTTTATGTGCCTGAGCCATGCAAGACCTAAGTAAGGGAAAGTACATAAGTAGTTCTGCCTGTACTTATTACAGTACTTATTCTAGTAGATTCTAGGAGTAGTTATCTACTTAGTTCTTAACTCCTTACCTCCCTGCCAAGGAGGTCTGCATATTTTAAATCAACGATATGTTCTTTATATAATTGATTTTTGGACTCTAAATGAATTCAAACAAATGCAGCTCACTGAATTTTTCTTCAACATCCTTCCCTCTACAATGCTTGATTTTACACTCTGCCTCTTCTGAGTGTGGTTATTCTGATCAGACGTGGGCACTCGGATTTCAAATGCATTCAGTCAGAAAACATGCTATATTCGGACAGAGTATGATCTCAACCTTCGAACAGATCTAAAATTGTTCACCACCAACTGCCAGTGATGTACGAACAGCTGCAAACATAAAATCACTAAACGTGATATGTATGCTTTGGCTCCTTCCCTTGCATGTGTTGTATTGTAAGCTATCTGAATTTTAGGACATAATGTAAAGTAGCAGAGTGGAGATTGTGCCTGGGGAGTGCCACTGCAGGTCTACCACAAAAACCACTTAGTTTCTTCTTCCGATTCTAATGGTGTTCTTTTTTTGAGAAAAGAGTAAAAAGCACATGGTTGAATTTTAAAATGCTCACACTATGACACCGAATCCATATTTAGAAATTACACGTTCTTTAGTTGCCCCCTGATGTTCTAGAACTAGGATTTATATAAAGTTTTCATTTCTTGTAAAAAGATTGCCCTGCTTTTGAAACTCTTACGTCATTGGCGAGATTGCGTATTTGATAAAGCTTAGATGACAAAAGGACAATGAAACATGAGATCATTTTTGCATGCATACCTTGAAGGATGAACTATGTCCAGGTGAAGGTCTCTGTGGAAGAAAAAATAGGTCACTTTAGTTTCTGCTAATTAAGCTATATTACCTTAATTAATCAGGATATTATGCACGTATGTTCTGAGTATGTAACAAAATGTAAATTCAATCCAATCAACAATTTTTAAAATTTATCTGTTTTGATGCTTTGCTCACCTTCTTGTTTTTTGTCTTGTCTGGCTGAGGCGCTGTCCTACGCTCTGTCCCCTTGCTCGCTCTGCTACTAACCTTGGGTGTTCTTGGCATGTCTGTGTGCCGCTGTGAACGCACAGAGCGAGAAATCTTGGGAGTCTTGACAGGTGCACAGTACATCTCAAGGCGCTGCAGCTCACAGCTTTGGAAGCAGCACTCATCCACGATGCCACGTGACCGCCTTGCACTGGGGCCATAGCCTGTTGGTTTATCTGTTTGAGAAGAACGGCAGCAGGTTTTAGACAATGGAGAGACAGAACCAGTTCCATTGCTTAGTTCTAATTTTCTACCCAACAAAATTGGTGGCTAGTGCGCTGAAATAAAGGACTCATTGATCCAAACTTTACTACTTCAGAAAGAAATCTGCACTTGTTTACACGAGCTGGTATAAAAAGGCTAGGTAGCAATATTTTGGCTCTTGAGTGGACTTGAAGAAAAACCATAGATTTGTTTAATGATTTCATATGACTGGATATATTCTAAAAGTATATTTATATAAAAAGTCAGCCAGAGACAACATTTTAAATCGGTTAACAAAACTATTGCTAGCTTAATTTGCTATCATCCTATAGGGAAAAAAAAAAATCTGTTAATGGTAAATGTCCGTTCAGCCAGTAAAATCAGTGTTGTCCGCATTTGTTTACCTGCTTCTAAATTAAGGGAACTTTGATTTGAAATTTAGTACATAATTTAAGTGGTAAATTTGTCCTCATGCTTATGGCCAGTACAGGTTTAGGTGAACCAGCCAAACTCAACAACAAAAATATTGATGTTAGCTAGGAAGCAAAAAGGAACAATGTTGTTTCATGATTTCCGTGCTTTCTACATATAATTGCATATATTTTTTAATTTGTACAAATATAAAGCATAGGCCAGAAAAAACACTTTACATGTGTACAGCTGACAAAACATTTTTATATTAGCCAACAAAATCCGTGCCTTTGTCTATTTTTTCCCAAAATACCCATTGATTTAAAGTTTACTACGCATTTTCAGTTGAAATTGTCACTTTTGAGTCTTTAAATTATGACATTATTATTTTCCCTTTCCTATGCTTCTTATTTTTTTAATAGAATTAATCAAAGACATTCTGGCGATGGCTGGACGCCGACGCCACGCTCGTAATAAAGCTGTGATAACAGCCGTACGGTCTCAGTGACACTGATTTCTTACATGTAAAATTTACAACATATCACATTGCACACTGTGGACTCATTTTGGCAGCTGCATCAATGTAAAAAAAAAAAACTTTAAAAAAAAGGAGGGAAAGGGGTGGGGGAAGGGGGCAGTCACCCAAATGGTGAGAATATCCTGCTCAGCCATTTTGGCCCAGGTGTCTTTTACATAGTCCAGCGAGGCCAAGCCACAAGTCCCCTGGGCCCGATCCACCTGCAGAAACATCCAGGCAGGCTTTTAGGACCACACCACCATTGGCTATGTCCCACTGTTCATTCACATTTTTATTTGGCAGAAGCACCCTGGAGGCTCGTTCAAATAACACAGATTTTGAGGATGGAGACATGATGCATGCTCACTGCATGAAGTAAAGAAGCAAAGCCAGCTAGCAAAGGTGTTTTGGGTATTTTGCTTTTTGGGGGAGGTTTTTGAGTCCAAATAATACATCTCAGGGCGTGACAGATTTTTGACTCAATGATCACATTTAGTTACAGTGACGCCAGTACTCACTTCCTCTTTTAACTCCCTAACCCCCCAGAACCCACCCTCTTTGGTGGCTTTTAGAAAAACCCAGACTTCCCATTTACAATTCCCTGCTCACCTTGAACAATATAGTCCTGATGGGCTTTTCCCTGTTACCAAATGAAATAATAATAATTTAATATGGCATTTACAAGGAGGAAATGCCTTTCCCTCTCAGAGTTAATAGCTCTTGGCTCAGAAGACTGCCAGTGCTGACAAAGTGCATTAACTTCTGCTCTCTGTCTGCCTTGTCCTGACAACGTTATTTTGAACAGAGAGCAGCTTTCATTCAGAAACAGAAGCATCTTTCTCCTCAGACCCCCAGACACAAAGCAGAGTGGAGGCTAACAGAGGTGTGAATGAAGAGGAGGAGATGGGGGGTGATAGGGAGGCTTTCATGTTGCTCATCAGGTAGCTGGATGCTAAAAATACCTTGTGCACCTGCATTATTTAGGAAACAGAAGAACTGGATTTACCCAGATCTCAGACTTCTAAACTAGATGTGTGCAAACTAGAAAACTGAAATATTTAAATGGCTGAAAAAAATCTTGATTTGGATATTTAAACTATTTATTATATACAGTTCAAACGATTGTATTCATTTTGTTTTTCTAAGAAATTCTTTCAGTGCTTGTCCCACTGAGTAACAGTGGGCCAAGCATTGGCTGTTCTATTAACACCTGACGTGAAGACATTTAAAATGAGAAAATTGCGACACTGAGCCCTGGCTGGTGATTATATAATGGTTTCTGAAAGCCAAAAGAGGGGCTGTGCTTCAATGCCTGGCCTGTTTTTCAATCCCCCAACCCCCCCACCCCCCCAATAAAGCCTTACAAATTAACATCCGCTATTATTCTGAAAATAGTTTGCCACCCTGCTGCACAAACAGCTGGAAGGGACAGGGTAATCAGCTGGTGCCGGTTGTAACATGTAGGATAATCAGCTCAGGCAGGTTAGGGGAAAACACGCATATAATAATCAGGTCTAAAAGCTTTGGATAACTGCTGTAATCCCCCATCAACAAAGAATTGTTTTCTGTGACTGTTAAATAAGGGTAAATAAAGAAGATGCAAAAAAGGTTTTGCCGATTTTGCAAAAGTCAGTCTGAAGGAAAACTTAAAGAAAGAACGTTTCTTTTGATTATTAAATACCAACTGTCTTTAGGAAGGACCTTTAACAACTTACTTCTTTGCAGATGATGCCAGCCTGTACAAATATTTCTAACCAGAGCAGCACATACCGTACTTGGTGGTGAATTCGAGAAAATAAAGAGAAAAAAGCCAGAGGTTTATTTAGGAGGGCCTGATACACTGGATAGCTATGCATGTCGCACAACCGGTGAGTCAAGGAACCACAACTAACACACACATCTCTGAGAAACCCTGGACATTGAAAAAGCTATTCTTTTCAGAAGTTTTATGAACATTTTGATGTGTTCTGAGGTATTTTCCTTTGTCCATAAGTGTGTTAACTTTGGAATAAGTTCTACCGGTTGTAAACTGAAAACAACCACAGTCTTTGTCCACTACGAATTAGCCACTTAGACATTTACAGAACCTTCTTTTAAGTGCTTTTTAAAGGCCAAATCATAACTTTTGTCTCATTGTATCACTGATATGCACATTAGCACTCAACCCAAAATCTGAAGCCGTGTGGACTAGCACCACTGCAGTCACACCAATTAAAAGTCAAGTGAAAGCTTGTTTCATACGCCATGTGTAGTTTAGTGATGTCTTGCACAACCTTGATCTTGTTCTTGTTTTGAATTTGCACACACTGTTTTCTCTTTTTGACTTTTTCCTGTTGTTCAGCCAAACACAGCAAACTAAGCAGCTCTTCTTCCTCCATCAGGAGGTCCACACGATTTCTAGTGAGCATGTGTGGAACGCGTCTGCGTAGACTTGACCCCGGTTAAATATGTATAGAAGCACTGTTTGAAGTTTAAGTCTACAGCTGGCTGCACAAAAACCACAAATTGGTCTTTGGGGTGGAGTACTTCTTCACCTTGGATGTCACTCTGACAGCATCCTTCTTAACAGAAGCTATGCTATAGTTTTGACTAGCCACAATCTATGTTAGTTTTTCGTAAAGTCTTTCATCTGATGTCACCGCACGGTTCCCTGAAACATCTTTGGTTTGGTATTTGACAGGCTCAGCATGCATAGTGCTCATTCCTCCAAGGAACAGCACCGGAGAGAGATGGCTCGATTTCCCCATTCCAGAGTGGCACAGAAAGCATCTGAGTTTTACAGCTTGGTCATGGTCAATAAAAAGCAGTGGATTCTTGGAGCCAGTGCACTGCTCCTCCTGTGAAGTGTCAGGGAGTTTACGGCTGGGCAGGGACTAGAAAAGCTGCTTTAAGTACTAGAAACTATCCCTTTATCATTGGTACCATGTTTTACGGCTTGTGAGAATTTGAACCTTATCCAAATGCATTATGAATATTTAAAGATGGATTTTTCAGGGTATGTGTTCTTGAAAAAGTTTTGCAACAACTTTTGGAATTTACAAATGTAACGTAATTTTTTCTCATGATCGGTAGTTGGGAGACAAGTTAAGTTATCATTACATGGTTAGTGGTCATGTGTCTGCAAAGCCTCGACACTGGAAGTCTTTATCACCAGTTGGTGGCCATTAAAAAAGATCGCAGGGGAAAGAACTTTGCCTGGAAGCTGCATCCATCTTTTAGATTGTCTGCGGTTAATGCCTGTGTTTGATCATGTATTTCTTCTGCTTATCGTGGAGATAAATGTCATTATTTATTATAGCCTTGAGTATTTGAATAGTTATCGAATTTAGGAAGGCTACATTTCTGCATTACAGACAAATGTAATGTGATCACTGCTGTGCATGAGTCTTTGGTTACACCTAACAAGCGAAACCAAGCCATTTTATGAGATCTATAAAGACAAAAGAACGCCATGAAGAAGATATCTATAAATCTAACTAATGTTCCCCTGTTTTCTTTGTAGAAGGCCTGCATAATGTGAATGAATGAAAAGGTTAAGTATTTTTTAGTGTCCTCAAATCCCTCGAGTCTCAACTTCACCTAATGTACAGATTTAAATCTGGACAACGCCTGCCTGTCCTTTTCATGAGAAGCCTCTTTGTTCCAGTATTTCGCAGCGGGGGTCAGAGATGTTTAGTTTCAGGTCTTCATGGGAAATCGACACCTTTTCATAGCGATGGAGAAGACACAGGAGGGCTTTCTTCGGGCCTTGGTGCCTTCCGCTGTGTGCCCAGGTCCAGTGCAAAACTATGGCGGGAGGGGATGGTGGAGGGTGTCCTGATCATCCTGTAATCCACATAATCCCCTGCTGCTGAGGGACCAGGCCTCGCCATGCGTGAGTCTAAGTGCGTGCATGTGACGTGCTGTTTACACATTCTCCCTCTTTCTCCAGCTCAAGTGGCTCTGAATAAAACTGGCAGGGACAGACACTGAAAAGGAAGTCATATCTCATCCTCCACTCTCCTTTCCACCTTCAACTCACCTGAGCACACTGCATTTTATATTTGGTTGCCTTCTTATTGGGTATTTGTGTAGCGACGATGAGCTTTTGGCTGAAAAAAGGATGGATTATTTCATCTTCTTTGCAGACACTATGCAGAAGTCTTACAGAGTAAGATTAAATATCTCGTGCTCACTCTAAAACAGCTGAATATTTCAGCATGAACTAAAAGTGACTTAGAACGCGGAGCTACTTAGCACTCACACTTCAGCCAAAAAACGTCCCATAACAGATCTGATTCATGGAATGAACATCCCAGTGAAATCACCCCGCAGTCCTGCCTGCTAAAGCATTACAAAGACAACTAAGGATTTTTTTAGGTCGGGCTAATAATTGGAAAAACTGACTGCAGGTTTTTTTTTCTCTGTTTCATTGACCGCAGTTTGTTTAATTACCCTTTAAAAAAATGAATTTCCACCAACTAATGTTTTCTGTCAGGGTAGGAAATCTGCAGTTGTGAAATACAAGTGTGCTTCACTTTACTGGTGGCATGGCAAAAAGCACTGTGAGCACATAAAGCCCGCTGTTGTTGCAACACTGTCTCTGCACACATTATCAATCAGAGGGCTGCCAAGTTCAACACGGCCAGACTGGAGGGGAAGAGTTCAGGGAAAGGATCACGCTTCCTTTGGCCAAGCCGTTACTCTGCCGCGTCCTATGGACGACAGAGCCCAAATGGATTCTCCAGATATTTTACTGACTAGAAGCAAAGGAAAAGGGATGACAGCGAGAATATGAGAGAGCGAGAGAAACCGAGGACGACGGCGAGAAGCATATTTTCCAAGGCACAGCACCCTGCTGCTCAAACCTCGTCATCTTTTTCAGAGAATGGCTGGAGTGTTCATGAAATACGTCTCTTTTTAACAGGAAAAAGTAGCATTGATAGATGGATGCTGTGTAGTCCACTGACAGCTCAGTGTAAGGTAATGTGGGAAAGACAAATACGTTCCACCAACCACCACAAAAAGGTCTGTTCCTGTTTAAGAAGTATATTCTACATGAGGATTCATGAGTTGCATTGGCTTCTGTTCAACACTTTCCCATTTAATAAACTGCAGTTAAACTCCGGTATCAGTATCCAACCCTTTGTCACATTCCCACATCACCCGGCTCTGAACACTCTCATACCTTGTCAAAATCCTAAACATATCAAAAACTTTTAAGCTACAGCTGCAGACAGGTCACGGGACCATTTCAAAATCGGAGAAATGAAATGTTCAGAGTTGGGGTTTAAAAAAAAAAAAAAAGACTGCTAAGGAAAAAAAGATGCCAAAGTTCAAAACCTGTTTACTCAGAATCCAAGGCCTGCACTTATTAAAATGTTATGTTTGATCATTTAAAGAAGAAGACGCTGAAGCCGAGGGAATCCAAAGACCAAAAAGTCTTAACAGGCAGAATACTGGCAATCGGACTGGCTGTCAAGACCACTTCACAGCATGTGGGTATTTCCAGGAGCATCTGGACGAACACGGCTCGCAGCTTTGCAGTAGCTTGGTGGCTCTCCAAAAAACTTTCTGGCAAATGCCATACAGAGGCCCTGACGCAGAGAATGATGTGGACTGGTCCTGGAAAAGCTGCAAGGAGCAGGATTCGGGGAGAGGAGCAGCAAGGTGCATGCTGACACTGCTATCTGTAAAGAAATCTATTTACATTCGGAAGACGCAATTCCATAGAATTTAAATTATTTAATTTGTAGAATCTCTTAGCATAACAGCCAGAAACATGGTTTAGGTTATGCAACTCAGACCCTTTGTTAAGGTTAGAGAAGGGGTAAGAGAGAGATTTTACAGTGATTTGTGAATTGTATTGTGCCTATTTAATTTCCAATCTCTCCGAAACAAAGTCATACATAAACAAGCTGGTAGAAAGCAGGAAATTGATCTGAGAGTAGCTTCTGGCTTTTAAAAGAGAAGCCAACATGGAAGTGCTTTAAACCTGCATTTTTTTCCAGGCCACTAGAGGGTGATAGCTGTAGTTTGAAAAAGACTTCTGGTCCTATAGAAGTCTTTGGGAAAATTACCTTCTGACTTGAGTTCTGTAAACACTTTCCTGCATAATGCACTTTGTATGCAGTGTCAGACGTTTTTCATGACAGGTGTAGCTAGTCCCATCAAAGCACAGTTCAGATGATTCTCAGTGCCAAACGAGAACAGTTGATAGCTGAGCTGATGAACTTGTACAAATCCAGTTGACCAACTCTTATATTTAAGCTGCATGAAGAGTCTATTATATTCTGATACAGCGACAGATAGCTGAAGAGACACCATGGCCAAGCAATGGTTCTTGTTATGTCTCTGTAGTCCGACTGAAGGGCGCAAGTGTAGTTGGTGCAGGGTAATGTAAAATCTTTGTGTTCGTGTAAATTACCAGGCACACAGACGCCTCCTCAGAGCCTCATACTCGCATCACATGACACAAATGGACTCGAGCCTAAAGCATATCCCATCTATTAGTCTGTCCCCAGTTGCTATACACATCTATATACATCTGCACGCCACTTTAGAACCCACTTCCATCCATGGCACACCTTTCCATGTATATTGAAAGGTGGAAAGGTCCCAGAACAGAGCCATGCCACCACATGCAGAGATCTGCAGATGGAAATAACCCTTCAACAATAAGAACCTTTAGAGGGTTGGCTGTAGCTCAGGAAGAGCAGGTCACCTACTGATCGGAAGGTTGGTGGTTTGGTCCCTGGCTCCTCTAGTTTGCATGCCAAGTGTCCTTGGGCAAGATACTAACCCCAAGTTGCTCTCCAATGCATCCATCGGAGTATGCATGTGTGTGAATGTAGTTAGAAAGCACTATGAATAGAGAAGGTTCTTGTGGAATGGGTGTGATTGGGTGAATGTGGCATGTTGTATAGAGCCTTTTGAGTACTCCGAAAGAGTAGAAAAGCGCTATATAAGAATCAATCAGTCCACTTGTATACGTTATGTTATGTTCTTACTAACTGCAGTGCTAACCATGACCTAGTGTGTTGCCGTAATTTTTTCACAAATACTTTAGATTAGTAGAAGTAGCTCTGTGGTCCAAACCTATAATTGCGACTTTGTTCATCACATGAACTGAAGATGAGGTATTTCCTAGTTTGAGGTTGTGGGCCCTGCAGTACCCTTAAAAGCTGGCCCACACGTTGTGGAATCACAGCACCACAGTACTTGGTTTAGGTCAGTTAAGGATTTAAACCCAGCTGTTAAGCATTGTTTCAACACCAGAGTGTATAGACAATATTTGTATTGAAGTCCCTTAAACCTGCATTTTTTTTCTTCTAATGGCCAGCAGGGGGCGACTCCTCTGGTGCAAAAATGGGAAAAGTCGGACTACGTAGAATTCTATTAGGAGATGACCAGATCATCTCCTGCGATCTGTGATTTCAGTAAACACTTTGCTGATTATTGGTTTTTAGCTAATGCAACATGATGATTACGTAGTAAATTATGGTCAAATAGGACCATAAAGCAGGGTAGGTTTTATCATAGGGTGAAGTCTATGCTGCTTGCATTTAGACTAAGCTTGTGAATGCCATCCATTCTCTTCTGCTTATCCAATTCATTTCAATCAGCTACATTTTAGTGATAATTAGGAAAAAAATAATGGGTTATCAAGCCAAACTAAGTTATTGAACGCAGTAAAGTTATCTGCTAAACCTGAGCATGGCTTTAGGCCACTACTGCCCACTTCTTCTGGCCTCTAATTGTCCTACACGATAGAAAAGGTATATTTTCAAACTATTCAGGTTCAAGCGAAGGTGAAAGAAATCAATTACTGGAAAAGAGAAGAACTGCAAATGCATTATAGATGCTGCTGATCTCCAAGAGAAATCTTATATCTTCTTCTTCTGTTTTTCGAACTGGCAGCTGACAAAGTCTACCACATGTGGAAAATCTTTCATAACTTTGGGACCAAACCAAACCATTTAAAATGGATTGTTATGACAAAACTGCACAGGAGTCAGAGGGAGAACTAATAATTTTATGAATAAGAAATGACTGTTGGTGGAGATGTGATGCTCGTTGAGGACATTTGCTGAAACTGGCTTAATTGGTGGATGCCAGCCAGAGAAAAGTGAATAATAAGCTTCTAACCTTCAGCTCTGTGGGAGCCAACTATACTGTTAATGTACAGTCGTGCTGCTTGTCTCTGACAGACAAAGCAGGATACATGTCCTGAGAAACTCTGGCTGCCGGTGGAACATTGCACCTAACCTTCATAGCTCCATATATCCTGTGCTGCTCTGGGCTAGGTTGTACCCTTAATGGAAAAATTGGAGATTTAAATCCTGGTTTCTTGGTCGAGGGTTTTCTTTGGGTGGCTCTCCCTTCTCTGGTGGAAAAAAGAAAAAACTTCACTGCAACATTTACTTTCTACCCCTCCTTTTTCTTGGAGATAGCCAAATTCCACTTAAAGCCCTTTCCCTCTGGTCACAGCTGCGATTTGCCACCAATAAGAGTTACTTATCATTATTCCATATTTCATCTAACTTTTCTCATTCAGAATTTGACCTCGGTGATGAGAGTAGCATTAAAACAAATGTACAGGGAATTTAAATATAAGATGTAAGAGTGGATGAGGAATGAATGAAGTAAAAAAAAAAACATTAAGGGAAAGCCAAGACGAGATGTCAAACTGGCTGTTCTTTTATTTATGAGCTCGCAGGAGGTGGAGAGCTCTGGGACATATACAGCCAACCTTTATGAATAAATAAAAAGGTGCACTTACTGAAATAAAAGCCTCGCTCTCCACAGACAAACTGCAGCGTGTCGACCAGCTCCGCCCCGCACAGGGTCTCAGGGCCCGCCCCTGTTGCCGTCGGAGTCAGGGTGAGGACGCACAGCAGTAGTGAGAGGGTGTGGCTACAGGAGATACAGCACATCGCACTCTGCGCACAGGGAGAGAGCAAGAACATTTTCACAGCATCATCGGAAAAAGAGTTTCATTTAACCACAACTCAAAGCTTCATGCACTCTTCTCCATTTAGCGCATCTGCTGTGACAGTTTGTTGCACAGTGTCTTGCTCAAAGGCACGTCAGTAAGTGGCAGTATTACACTCGCACTGTCAAACACAGGGTTGAAAAAAAAAAAGGCAGCCAGCTTAAAGTTGGGCATCCAGGATGTTCCATCTGCTAAAAAAGGGGAAAGAAACAGATGGTAACTTTACAGGAGTTTGGAGATGTGGAGGAAAATGTATTAAATCCAGACTCGCACTCGGTGCCAGAGTCAGTCAAACAGGAGGCTGAGCAGCTCTGATGCTCCGGAGCGCCTGTGCGTAACCGAGCGGAGCGCGTCCAAATTGAAAACACACTATACCCCCCTCCTCTCCTTCTCGTCCATCCGCCCGGCTTCTGTGTAGTGGGTCTTAGCAAGTTAACAACAATCTGCATTAATCACATTAATTAAATGCAGGCTATCTATCATTAACAACCAGTTTAACATTTAAAATGTGCCAAAGCCTAGCTGTCAGTGCATTATTAGGCGCAAAAGTGCTTCGACACTCAGAAAGGAGAATAAATGAGCTGCCAAGAGATCTTTCCGATCCAAAATGTGAGATGGAAAAAGGCTCTCCCGCCAAAGCCCGCGGAGGAAGCTGACTGGGCCAAATGTACATAATAAAGAGAATAAACACGGAACGTTATCCATCTACATCACAACCGCAAAGTCCCGACGCCCGCAAGTGTTTCTTGATAATCTCTCCTCTCTCCCGCTCTCTGTCTTTCAACCCCGCAGAGGAATCAGGTTAGATATTTACCACGTAAATTATGCAGACTCAGCAGTAATTACTTTGAAAGTTGCACAGCTGCATTAGGGCTTTCTGGTGGAAAAAAGCGCCGGGCGCACGGAAAATGTCCAAATTCATACCTGCGCTGAAAGTCATGCACGATCCATGTCAATGATTTTTTGATTGCAAAAAAAAAAAGAAAAAAGAAGAAAAAAGAATCAAAGCAAAATGTAGAAAATATAATTATCTCTGGAAAAAAATAAAATAGATTACCAGGACATGCGGGAGAGTTGTTCCATAAGTGGATGAAAAGGAGAAAAATGTGAATAAATCCGCACCAATGCATGCGTTCAAAAGCTGTGAAATACAAGCAAGCGATAAGAATCCCCTTTTATTGTTTCTTTTTAAAGTAGGCGAAGATGCTCTGTGCAAATAGTGAGCAAGTGAAGAATCAAGGTGATAATGTATAGTGTCAAAGGAAATCAGGTAAGTTACCTTGAAGACATCACATAAATGCCACTGAAAGGAAAAAGCGCTAGACATCCCCACGGGTCTCCACAAGACAAAGCCCGACGAAAATGAACTTGTTTAAAGTCATTAAAAACAGGGAGAAAGAGGATGAGATGCGGGCAATGTCACATCTCAATATTCCGACTTTGTTCCATTGCGCAGGCTCGTTTTGGAGAAGTGAGATTTAGCGAACAGGAGACGGATTTAGAGAGAAAATCCCTCACATTTATCTACATTACACAGACATTTTCAACAGGAAACAGCTGGGGCAGCATTTGCCTCCTACTCGTCCTAAGTTATTCATTAAGGATTTTGGGCACATATTCAAATAACGTCATTTCTGTTTTTTCTCAGAACGGGATTGAATTTTGATCTCTCTAAGACTTGGTTAGTAGTTCAGATCAGCCCCACCACCACCAGCAGCAGTAGCAGCAGCGGCTCACACTCTTACAAACGCATTATTTTGTGCCCTGAAAGCTCATGAAGGAGAAGTTAAAGACGAGCTGGCGGTTGTAATATGGCTCTTTGCTGTTGTGCGTAATTTGGCACCGCGTAACTGAACAGCAAGTCTCTCCACTAGTGGTTTGATTAAATAAATCATTAAAAACACTTTCCCACTTGGTCACCGCAGTGCTCCCAACTCGAAAACCTCACAAGGAAAAGCTAAATAAATGTGAACCGGAGTGAAAATGTAAAAATGTGACATTTTTATTACAGTAAGGAGCAAACTTGAGCCAGAAAGCCACATGTGAAGCCCTGTTTCCTCTAAATGAGAGCCACTGTGCAGGGTTTGCTGCCTTTCTGCACACTGTCACTGCATAATCCTGGTGTATGTCTCTGGTTTTCTCTCCCTTCTTGCTGATTTTCACTTAATAGAAGTGGGTTCGCCTGTAAATAACATCTGATGCTCCTGTGAACTAGAGTGGAAAAATAAAAAAAGGAGGGAAAAAAAAAGAAAAACACATGGGGTTTTATGATGAAGAAGACATTTATTTCATACCCTTGGAGCAATCGTCTGCACTGACAGACTCTTGATGCAGGGCCACCCACTGTCATCATGTTGAAGATGGGGCCCCGCAGTTCCCACTGTGTCACAGGAAGGGACGAAAGCTAGGGCTTAAAGAGGGTTGTTCTCAGCAGGGACGGGATATCAACACTGATCCAGTCACTAAACATGAGATCACTGCTGTGACCCAATCATAAAACAGGACACCAGCACGTATCCAGGCATGCTCCCTCCGTGTTTGTGTGTGTGCATCACAAGCATGGTTGGTTCCAAAGGGGACTTAAGACACGCAACAGTTAGAGTTGTTTGGGTAAAGTGGGTCAAAACACGATCATCATCAAATGTCCCAATCTGACACAGGCAGCAGCACTGACACACACTTCTGATACAGGAGCTCAACTCACAGATAAAGTGAGGGGCGTCTGAGCTGAGGGTCCTTGATGGCGTAAATGAAGCCGATTAAGGCAGTATTTTTGTCTGGTTTTGCTCTTAGTGCAGGATTACAGCTCAGTCGTCCAAACTTTTAAAACAGGTGCAGCCTAAAGTGTCACATGCAAAATGAGGAATGCTGCTTAATTAGAGCTTAATCTGCTGTTAATAAAGTTGTTTTCTTTAAGCAAAAAAAACACCCCAAAATGTGTCCCAATGCCACACAAATCATTTCTTTTGTGTTTTTTTTTTTGTTGTTGTTTTTTTTTAACTTTTCATTGTTTGAATTTTTATTTAACAAACAGTAGATTGATTCATAATCTCAATAAACAGATACCTGCAGATTATCTGAGAGGGTCATGAGCTGGTGTTTATTCGGTTTAATGGGTGAAGACGAGCCAAAAGTGTCTGATATTTATTGTTCTCCGTATTTCGTTGTTGACTACATCTGTAGTTGTTCAGCAGACATGAGCTGTATTCCTTAAGATCTCAGTCTGGGTTGATGTGGTTTCTCCTTCACTAACGGGTGCACTTTACTACAGCAAACACTCTCTTTTACAAACATCTGCATATGTGTTTAGAGCGCAGCCAAACAAGCACATTGATCTGATTTAATGCTGCACAGGGAGTGCATAAGTGCCGTAAACCTGCACTCTTTCTAACAGCCAGAAGGTGGTGATGCTTCAGGAGTCGAACAGAAGTCTTTAAGAAACTATTAAACATTTTCCTGATGATCTTAATGTCTCAGTTTTTAGTTTTGGTAGTTGTTTGTAATTTAGGGTCCTAAATCCTTCCTTTTCTCACTACGTACACTTTGAAAACACCAAAACAGACCAACAAAAATGTTCAAGTTGATGCTCCAGTGACTCCATAAACCAGTGCCAATGTCCATCTCTGATATACAGTCTATGATAGCTACTTTGTTACTTTGCTGAGAAGATGTATTTTCTTGTTGCCTAAAGCTCCAGAGGGATCCAAGTGGGACAGTTGATCTTTGTTTTACCCCTTATGCCTCTTTTCCACTAATAACTGCTCGGCTCTACTCGATTCAACTCTATTCCACTCATTTTTGGTCATTTTCCATTACAATTGAGTACCTTTTTAAAGTGTTTGGGGTCGTTATAGCAATCTAGCCAAAAGTCCTGTCTTGTCATTTGTATGTAACTCAAAAACACAACAATGGAGGACATTAGGGCGATGCTATACCTGCTGCTAAACCAATAAGTGTCTGCACCTTAAATGGCCAGTTTAATTTTTGTGAAGGAGACGGTCTTATGACTTGTCACTGTGATGCCACAGACTGGCCAATCAGTGGCGTGCAGTCTGTAGATGTCAAATGTTCGACTCAGAACACCTGAAACCCCTTCTGAGTAGGTATTAAATAAAGTACCTGCTACCAGGTTTTATCACTTAATGGAACCCCCTAAAAACCGAGTTGAGTAGCAGAAAAGGAGTTTTAATGTCATAAAAACAGGAGATCAGTTGCCATTAGCATTAAGATAATAAGACAGACATGTGTGACACATGTAGGCAAATTGATTCAGCGTGACACAAACCCTTCAAACATCCAGAAGTGGACTTTAAAAGTGGACAATTTCATCCACAGACACACAAATCAGTACGTATGACAGAAATAAAATCACATACAAGGGAATAAAAACAATGGTGGCGAATTAGACTATGCAGTTTCTGTGGAAGTTGCAGTGGGATTGATCGTATGATTCCGTTGGGATTTATTTTAAATGTATTCCACAACTGTTCAGAAGCATACGCTCCACAATTGAGGCGGTAATTTATAAGTTTTAATGGATGCTGGAGAGTATGAGTTAAGTAGGCCTGCTCTGAATGTTGAGTACAGTTTAGAGCCCCTTGTTACTCGTTAATGAGCATCATTTTCAAAATGAAAATCATGATGCATTTAGTAAGACTAAGATGTGAGACCCAAAACAAGATAGCTAGCAGGCAGGAGCTCAAGGATCATTGTCTGTAAGACTTCTGTACAGAGACTTGCTTTTGAAAACAGAGGAGTCACCACCTACTGGCTGTTAGAAGGAATCTAGACTTGCTTTACTTTCCACACCATGAAACTTCTTTTATATACAGTTTTTGTCTGTTACCATAGAGAATATAAAAGATGGCTGTAGCTATTGTGACATCACCACCTTCACAAACCCCAAAGCACAACCATCTTTTATATACAGTCTTTGTTTAGTACAACTCCCATACAGTGTAAGGAGAGTGAATAGCAAACATTTACGGAGGACATCGGTATATTATTATATAATGTTTGAGTTTATCATATGATAGAAAATTGCACCATAAAGTAAAAACCATGTAAAATTCTGAAAAGTTAAGTCCTACTACAAAATTTTCTTTATTTTTCCTCTAAAAAGAAAGGTCTTTATTGGTACTGGCTTCTAAAATGTGAAATATGACTGTAAATTTAGATGTGACAGCTTGGATTCTGGTGGACTTAGGATGGCAATTTTTCTTGGTTGATTAATGGCTAAAGATATTAAACTTAATTGCAGCTCTACTTTACACCATCCCAGTCCAGCTAAATGCACATTCAAGGACACTTGGTGAATTAAATAACACATTTGCACTGCCAAACTTTAGCTTGATGAACTATCTTTGATTGCCCTACCTAACTTTAGGTTAATGCACGACATGACTTTTCTTCCTTTCAGGACAGCAGCTTGGAGATATAAACCGAGCGCCATTTGCAGGAGATGCTGATTTAGTTTAGAATGTGATGGTGATGATGATGATGATGAGGGTGATGCTTCTCTTCTTAGAAGGACAAAGCTGCTTTCAAGCCAGAGGACAGCCTTGTTAGCATCAGTTCATTCGCCGATGCCTGTAAGCCTCTCTGCTGATAGCTGATCTTAGATGTAAAATCTCATCTTTCACTGCCTGCTGACATAAAAAGCACACACACAATCTAGCGTGTAAATGCTTCATCACAGACTTTCCTGTTATCACTGTGGCTGTGGTCTGGCAGTATTGATGACGGGCTTGTGCAGTACATCTGCTGATGCAGTAGTAGGAGGAAGAAGAGGAAGGGGGAGTGGGCAGGCTGACCTTCCCTTGCTCTCTGTTTCTAATGCCCAGGTCTCTGAGCTGCCTCGGTGCCAGGTTTCCCTCCCTCTCCTTCACTCCTTCTCTTTTCTCTTTGGTTGCAAGACTTTTGAATCCCCTCATCCAACACCTCCCCCCCACAGCCTTGTCTAAGGAGACGTCCGCCCCAGTGAACTCATTGACCAGGGAAAGGCTTGTTTTTACTCCCTTCTGGTGTAGGAAGGGAGACAGCGCTCGCTGCAAAGAGTGTCCATCTGTGCAAGTTTTTTTGATCAAACGTGCATCTTAGACATATATATATATATGTATATATATATATATATATATATATATATATATATATATAAAATTCCACTTATTAATTCCCACTTATTTCCCCATCTCAGTTTGTAAATAAAACCTGCACTTTTTGCTTAAAAAAAAAAGAAAAAGGAGAGACTCACACAGGAGAAAGCTCTTGGTTACAAATGGAGTTATAATCACCTCATTTGGAACAGCTTTAAGATGTTAACACAGGAAGGCTTGTAAAGATGGACACTTTTTGCAGTGTTAACAGCATCCCGTCGGGTACCTCCTGCCAAACAAACGTCCGAGTCAGAGGATACGGAGCGCGGTACAGAATGCAAATGAATGCGAGTGGATGAAAGCGAGAGGAAGATTTAGAGTGGATGAAAAAGAAGATAAAAGCTTTTTGGTTTTGCATAACCTGCATGCAAGGGAGGATGGAGGGCTCTG